TCTCCCTTTCGCTCGCTCTCTCACAATCGCCACTGCGCGTCGGCCGCTCAAGCACTGACTGCTCACTCTCTCTTCGCTCACGCTCAAGTTCGCTACTCGCAATTCTCTCCAAGGTCTGTCAAGGGCCTTGCGCAACTCGTCTCCGCACTCTCTCCTCTCTCTGCAGGTCTCTCCGCCCTTGCGCGTAATCTTGGAAGCTGGAAATCGCAAAATCAAGAATGAGAGAATGAGACTGGAGCGCAGTCTTTTCTTCTCCGAATTCAAGAACGTCCAACGTTCTTACTGGTTACAACGTACGCAGCCGGCTATACGGCCTAACGGTTCGCCCTTTGCATGCGCGAATTCACGTCTCCGCACTGCGCGCCTTCGCATGCGTGAATGTTGAATTCTCCCGCCGCCGCCGTCTTCCGGACTCGAGTCCGCCGTAGGGTATACGTCGGCTATGTTGTCTTTCCCTAACCCGTCCATCACCGGAGGCGCGTCGCCGCTGGCGTGTTCCTTATCCGTCGGCGCCTTGCTAGAGGCGCACATCCAATCGGCGCGAATTACGCCGGCGCGTATTCGTACCGCTTATTTTGTCCGTTCTGCCTCGTCCATTGCTGACGGCGCATATCCCGCCGGCGCAAATCATACCAGCGCAAATCATGCCAGCGCAGCCGGCCATCAGCGCCACGTCAGAGGCGTACATCCGACCGGCGCTTTCCTTCCATGAGCAGCCGCCAAAGGCGCTTCCGACTCTGAGTTGGTTTCCTCCCATGAGCGCGCGATTCCGCCGAAGCGCATCGCCGAAGGCGTACGGGAGTTCTTTCCGGCTGTGAACCCTAGCGCGAACGGCGCATGTCCGGCTACGAGTTTTCCGACGCTCATAACTTCTTTGTCCCTGATCCATCTCCGACGCTCTTGGGCTCGTTAGAACGAGCGTCCCGAGCCCTTTCTAATGCGACTTCAACCAACTGGAACTACCGTGTATTCCGATCGTTATGAAGGTTTCCCTTTCCGCGCTAGCGGCGCATTGCCGAAGGCGCACTCATGATCGGAAGTCTTCAGAGGTCCGGGCCGCTCTTCTGACGTCTTTAGCAAAAACTCCTCCTGAGGTGTCTGCGCCGGAAGCGTAGCTTCCTTAAACGCTGGAAGCGCGTGAGTAGAGACACCTCAGAAAAGGAGCTTTTGCCGAAGGTGCCGAAGGTGCCGAAGACATTGGCGTTGGTACATCCGACTACACGATTCTTCGTGACCTCGTGACGATCTCATCAATCCTCTCTATTTAACGTACCCTTTTCTAACTACAAACACTGCTTCGGTACTAGTTTTCTAAAATTGTTTAAATTCTGCAAAAAAAACAAAAAGTGTGTTACCACACGTATATATTGGATTGACTGAAAAAATATTTTTAAAATAGTTTTTATCGAAATCTGGATTGAAATTTGGCCATTTTGATATAATTAACATGCATAATAACATGCCTTGTGAGTCAACCAGCAAATCCTTTTTTAATCATTTTTATAAATATTAGCCATTCGCCGAAGTCTTAAAGCAAACAAACCCATCTTCATGATTTTGTCTCATCTTAGATTGCTATATCATCTGCTAGAAAACAAAAATTGATTGAAATCATTTTTCAACAAATCCAAAAAAAAGCGAGTTTAGCAGATCAGCTTAAGAAAAATAAATTTATCTGTGCTATTCCTGTGTATATTGAAATTATCTCAAAAGTGTGAATTGCTAGAAAGATATAAGATGTATATCGAAGGAAAAAATTCTAAGTTCTAAAATCTCTGTTTTGAGGTTATAAGTTTTACATCTTTGACAATCTTGCCTTTTCGCACTATAAAAAATAATAATAACCTCAGTTATGCTGTAGAAAGAGTGCATTTGATAACACCCCCTTAACTCTCTTGGTACTCGTTATGGGCCCTAGAGTTATGTCGTACTCCATGGTGGACACGTAGGCAACGTAGACACATGCTTTTGAAGATGATGGTTTAGGAGCCCTTGTGTAGTTAACGGATGGCAATGTATGGATTGAAAGCTTTCAAGTTCACAACGCTCCATGCAAAGAAATTGCAAAAGTTCACTTAAAGTTTCAAATCTTTTTCTTAATTTCATTAAATTTTAGTAACCTAATTTCGGAATACATATGCATTAACACATATCATTAAAAAATTAATTATTTAATAAAAAATAAAATAATTTATTATATATATAATAGTAATGGAAAATTAGAAAACATTAAATCGTTTTAGATCAATATGTAATTTTTTACAAAGATTAATCTACAAGATTTTTTATCCATTGTAAATATATTTGGATTTAGGGTTGTGGTTCAGGGTTAAACCCTAAACGCCAAACATGCAGTCATGAATGTACTCCTTTGCTTACGAAATGCTAAATGCAATCAAACTTATACAATTTGGTGAAGCATATTGATAAATTTTTGTACTAACCCAGCAAATCAACTTCTTGCAATATCTAAAAAACATGGAGGTGCAGAGTTGCAGGATTTCTAAAACAAAGTCCATCGCAAAGTTCTAAAACGCGTTCTTGTATCGTGAACTTCTGTGACACGCCAAATTTTTGTCCATTGGAAGTGTTTGGCCAATTTCTCCTGCCTATTCTGTTGCATTTGCTCTCGAGAAACATCGAAAGTGCTGAGGCCTGGTACCTTCCAAGAGACACGGCGATGAAGCCTAGTTTCTCCTGCCTCTGTTGTTGCATTTGCTCTCAAGAAACATCGCGCGTGGTGTGGTACGTGCTAAGAGACACGGCGATGGAGTTACGCAGGTTCCGGGTTAGTGATATGGGGTGTCATAATTTTCTGTTCCATGGCACGGTTGTAGCAAATTCCAAGGTTTTGTCTCAGGATAGCAAGTACCTTCAATTTGATTGTATGGGTGTTTCAAATTCCTCCCATCTGTCCAACTTCGAAAGTTGCTATAGCTGCACCGTCTTGGGTACAAGAACATGTGTGATGTATACAATCGATGAGATCCCATGGATAGAACAAAAAGTCAAAGGTTCCAAATAATCAATTTAATCAATTTTTAATAATTAAATAATCAATTTTTAACAAACCAATGGGGTACCATCAAGTAAATATCATATTAACCATATCAAGCCATATATTAACATTGATATACATTATTTTCAACCGATAAAATCAAAATTCTAGTAAATTAAAATTTTACTAAAATTTGTATACTTTTTATATATTAGTTTGAATTTACATTTTCAGGCTAACTATTCTTCAAGCATGCTACGATATTACTTAACATAGAACTATAAGTACATATCCATCTACATTATGATGTTCATCGATATTTGAGAGATTAATAAAATTTTCAAATGCCCACCTCTTCCAAATTGTGTCATAACAACTGGTACTCCCAAACCAAATACAAATCCACCTTAACTCGAGTTGACTGCAAGACACGATGAGGTGAGATGTCCACACTCTTGTGGCATAACAAACATCAAACCCGTAAGCATGCAGTGGATCCTTTGATCTTAGAAATAAAATATTTGACCTTCTAATTAGCAACGAGTAATATTAACACTTGATTCAAGGTAATAACATCATCACATTTGAGGCATTAATATGTAAACTGATGGACGAAGCAAAAGTTCATCGTAGTGAAAACAATAGTAAAAAAGCATATGATCTTTTCAAAGTGGATAAGCGTACACCATTGCTAGAACAAAAGAATGGGCTAGATATATTAAAATGATAAGAAGTGGCTTGCACTTTCGTGCGATTTCGAGGATATATGGAATGGATTGCCACATTGTCAGCATGCCCGATCCCTGTAAGGTGTATCAAAGAATGCCACAAGATCTCGAAGGATAATGAGGCTTATTAATATATGTGCAGTCGTACGAGCCCTTTGAGAAGCTGAAAAGGAAATGACAGGAGTGATATTCCCAATGATGGACCGAGAGTGGAGAATGTATGCTTCACCTTCACACCAATGCCAATGGAACTGCTGGGTATGGGAGCACGAAGACGATAGAGAAAGTCATGTACACGATACAACTGTTCTGCCTTTCATGGCGTGGCATCCAGTCAGAATCCCACGTCGAGATAGTGCTAGAAAATTCGCAGCATGTGCAGGAAGCGTATCTCTAAGCTCGCAACAGCAGGTGGATGTCACCGAGAAAGAGAAAGAGGAGTCTCATGAGGTGACGGACGAAGTCCCCCAAGTGTGATAAAGTTTGATACATCCAAATACTTTTGACGCTAAAATCTTCGGATATGGTGACTCGATGTCCATTACACATGAACACTACAAATGGGTCCGTCGAATCGACTCGGAGTCGATAAAGTGCACGAGACTGGACCAATTATCTTGTGCATGGGCGATTCGATCCGAATGCAGAATGCCATATCGGGAAAGAGTTTGGAGTTCCTACCGCATTAAGGCAAGGCCTGGGATCTCAATCTCAATCTCAAAAGGAAGAACCATACGCACATCCAGACTATAGTCATCAGAGAATCATCATATGGGCAGAAGCAAAGACGCCGACAGAAAGCAGGCAATTATGAGTAGAGATGGAGGAGTCCTTGTATCTAAACAACATTCTTTTCGGAAAGGATGAAAGTGAAAGGCAGAAAAGGAGGAACGACTCGCCCAATGAGCGGACAGATTGTTGGATGTTTAACAGGCGAAATCCATATAATGCGTGATGGTAATTGACCACTTTTGTATGGAAAGTTATGCAGTTCATGTTCGACGGATGGAATACATGAACCGAATATATGATCGCCATATTGATGGCCCAAACGTGGACGGGTTGTGGGGCCAATTCTCAGAAGCACGTGATCGTAGACAGAATGAAGGAGAGGTTGGTGACGGAATCGGGAGCGGTGGACAGTGGAGTGGTAGTGAAGTGTTGCCGAAGTGAAAAGAAAATGAGGGAATTTGAGCCACGGGAATTCGGACTGTACTGCGAAGAGTTGAAAGCGCAAGAAGCTCATGTTGCAGGTTTATGACATTTCCGTACGCATTTACGATCGACGCAGGAGGTGTCACACGAACATGGGTCCAACATCAAGGAGCTTCTGGCCATGGCGCGCAGGAGGGTGGCCTTCCCGCTCCAAATTACATTTGCAGTATGCCCAGCTCTGCGCCGAGCTGCGAGTCCTGACCAGATCGAGGCCGATACCTCTATAACAACGCACATCTGTTCGATCCAGACTTCCGGTCTCGTGTGCCTGCTCAATGCTCCTCGAGCAACCATTTCTTGCCGTCACGACCAGACAAAGATCTGCTGTGGCCCCGGCTGACCCCTGGCTTATCCAATCGTTGATGTTTTGAGACGAAGAAAGTGGACGAGGCACATGTATGTTCGCGCAGGGCCAACCACCCCGTGCAGACATTTATTGCGACACTTCCAGTAAGTTCTGCGTCCTGGTCTCTCTCTCTCTCTTTCTTTCTTTCTTTCTTCCTCTCTCTCTCTGTGTCACTGGCGACAACGATCTTCTATCTTTCGAAAGGGAGACAAATCTTTCCATGTCCTCACATTCGATGCTGAGAGAGCGAGGCTAAAAGCGAGAGACGTCGTCCATTATCTCACTGCCTCTCTATCTCTCCATTCATGCCAGGCACGTCTCGTATGTATCGGACCATATATAGGACACGATGGGATGACCGTAACAGGCAAGGCAACGCAGGGCGAGGCACAGCTCATAGACATCGACAGGTTTGGGTTCATGATCTGGGCGCATCTGCAAGCAACCACAGAGTGTTGTGTTCATCAGCGGTATTGTTGTGTCGAGACTACACGTAGAAGTACGCCACATCTTCCATCACCTACTTCGCAACTGTCCACCACCCCGACTCTGGGTCGGTTTCGTTCGTTCAGGCAGCTGACCCCGTCTCGGCTGGCCTGCAACAACGACATCATGCCGGCTGTATGGAAAATCCGCTCCTGATCGGTGGTATCCGCAATGCAGGTGGCAGCCATTTCCCGTCAGGGTTCCCTCATATAAACGCACACTCGGCTCGGCTCATTCCAGCCCGTCTCGCCTCGGCACAGAGCAAGCTCAGGAGCAGGAGCAGGAGAAGGATCAGGATCAGGATCAGGGTCCGTGAGACGGAATCATCATCGGGGTGAGGGCTGAAGGCGAGCTTCTGCTGTGGGGTGAAGGTGCATTGCGAAGGTGCATTGTGAAGGTGAAGGTGCAGGCTTGTCGACACGAATCGAGACTCCTGCTCTGTTGAGGCAAAATGAATCGATGGGCTGCGATCGGAGGGATTCTGCTCATGCTGTGCGCGAGTCAAGTGCTCGGATTTCCCGCTGGGCGCGAGCCTGAGCTGAGGCTGGGGCACAGCAGGAAGCTGATCTCGGCCGCCGCCGACCCGGCGGGCCTGGTGGACACGGACCCGCTCATCCTGACGTACCACAACGGGCCGCTGCTGTCGGGCGGCACGGCGCCCGTCTATCTGATCCTGTATGGGAACTGGAGCGCGACGCAGCGCGAGATCGTGTACGACTTCGTGGGCTCGTTCGACGCGCACGAAGTGGCGTCGCCGTCGGTGGCCGACTGGTGGAGCCTGATGAACGGATACCGCGACTCGTCGAACACGCCGGTCACGGCGAACATGGAGATCGGCGGGGAGGTGTACGACGCGGATTACAGCTTCGGTGCGACGCTGAAGGTGATCGACATCGAGAATCTGGTGCTGAGCACGCTGACGCCCAAGGGCAAGTTCCCGACGAACCACCACGCCGTGTACCTGGTGCTCACGTCGCCCGACGTGCAGGTGGAGGACTTCTGCAAGAACCAGTGCGCGTCGCACTTCGCCACCAAGCCGCTGAACGCGACGGACGGGCGGCATCTGATCTACACCTGGGTCGGCAACGCCGTCACGCAGTGCCCCAAGAAGTGCATCTGGCCCTTCGCGCCGTCGGAGTTCGGGCCCGCGACCAAGGCCCTGATCCCGCCCAACGGCGACGAGGGCGTCGACGGCATGATCATCAACATCGGCATTATGCTCGCCGGCGCCGCCACCAATCCCTTCAACACCGGCTTCTACCAGGGCGACGCCGGCGCGCCCCTGGAGGCCGCCACCGCCTGCGCCGGCATCTTCGGCGAAGGCGCCTACCCCGGCGAGCCCGGCTCGCTGCTCGTCGACCAGAGCACCGGCGGCAGCTACAACGCCCACGGCATCAATGGCCGCAAGTTCCTGCTGCCTGCTCTCTGGAACCCGCAGGACCTCGAGTGCACTCCTCCGCAGCTCGCCTCCCGCGCCGTCTAGCCCATGAGTTCTGCTTCTGCTGAACCGAAGCTGGGAATCGATCGATCGACCTGTCTTCTCCCGGTGCGTCTGTCGGCCGGTCGGGAGAGTGCTCTCGCAGATCAGATGAGTGATAATAACGTCAGAATGTCGTGTTCGCAGACACGAGTTGCATCTCGTGTTCTGTCTAGTGATTAGTGAGGGAGTAGTGAGGGAGTGAGGGAATGAGTAAGCGAGCTGTGGGTGGATGATGTGAATGTGTAGGAAAACTGTGGCCTGTCTTTGTCTGGATTGCTACACTCTACTACCGCTAGCACCATGAGGACAAGTGGAGCACATTCAGACTTGTTGATCGGTTGCCACTTCCTCGTTGTGGCTCGAGGAATGAGTACAAAATTTGCATATTCGCTAGCAATGCTCGCTGCGGCTTCTTGTTCGTCTTCGATCGTGTGATGAGTGATGAGTGATGTGCTCACTTTTTCCAAAAAGCCCCACATGCAGACTACATCTGCATCGGATGTGGTGCATGGAAACAGTGGATGCTGCGGAACGAGCGCGCACCGCACACCACTCCACTGCGCGCATCCATTCATTGTCGAACGGACGGTGCCCTTTTTTCAGCCAGATCGCTGCCTTTCTATGAACTCTCCGCGTCGGGCCTATAATTTTGCTCGCAGATTCCTGAGTCCAGGAGATAGTGGGAAAGCTCTTTCTGTCTGTCCTGGTCAGGTGGACAATTCTCGGAATGATTTGCATGTGATACCACTGACCGATGTTTCGTTTATGTTGCCCAGCGCCTGCAGGCTCGCCAGAAAATACATCCAGCAATATATTTGATGTATTTTATGATAAGCGCTGTCAGTTATTTACCTGGAAGGGAACGTACTGCAGCTGTGGATGTAGCACCTTTGTCCCCATATTCATAACTCGAAAGCAAAAGAGGATTACCTCGGCAGACATCTCTGACGGAAACTTTCATTAGACGATGCGAGATTACTTGAGTTGTTGAAAGTTTCGAGTAACTCCTCGTTGATTACGGACCATTGAAATTCGGCATCACAGCCCCTTCGAAGAAACCTCAACTGACTCTGGTGCCAGGGGACTTGCGAGATAGAAAGCTCCCGGAACAAGAGGGTCAGACAAATGAGCATTTAACCGTGCGAGTATCTTTTCTCTTGCATCCAGGTTCAAATTAGTCTTGGCAGGAACGAATTTACTCTGCGGCCTCACACAAGAATCACATTGTCATCAATCAGTCAATAGGAGGAGTCTGAAGTTTGTAGCAAGTCGTTCCGAACAGTATAAAGATATTCGGCCTGTAATATACTATCGCTCCCGAATGTCAGTTGTAGATTTTCCAGTTAGTATCTGTGCGACGATTATTGGCGTGTTCCCCGATGTCATGAAACTCCCATACGTACCAAATTCATTCACTCATTGTACGCTCACAGAGCGGAGATCGAAGCTGGGCTTTCTATCGCCACGTCCCTGCGCACTGTCGAGTACTCCCATGCATCGGAAATCTGGATCCCTGAAGATACTTTTTCCCGTGAGATAGTTTGTTACTGAGGTAACACTCGATGCAAAACTCTCAGTCACCCACTTCGCACGAAAGTGAAGCGGATCAGGCTCAGTTATTACCATGACACGTCTACTGAGTACGGATTTGTCATTTCATGTCTTCATGAGCAGCTTTTCGGCGTCGAGAGCATAATACCTTATGTATACGTTGTGAATATCGGGACTTGTGCACCACGAGGTCTGCAGACATACCGGGAGAAATTTGGTGCTTTCCACCTTACTTTCTCCCACGGCTGAGAATAGTTCGCAATCTTCGTGCTAAAGGAAAGATTTCCAGACACAAAAGTCCATGCAGCTGCCGAATAGCTTCATTTCACTGAAAAGAGACACCATATTGTTTTGGGAGTCTTTTTTCATGGATTCGGGAGAAGCTGGTGTTCCTTCAATGTTTGTAAGTTTAGAGTTGCTGAGATGATAATTCATTCGTTTGATGTTTGATTTTATACCATGATATACCAAATGAGTCCTGGCCATGACCAAGATGATTAATACATTTTCTATCTCCGAGCTCAAACAAGTGCAAACTGGACATGAGTCTTTTGAGGCATGGCTACCAGCAATGGCCCGGGTAGCCATTGATTCAACACGATGTACGAAAAGCTCAGGCTTAAACACACAGGATGAGTAAGTCGGAACCAAATCTGGGAAGGCAATCAAAAGAAATGAAGGTCCACAAAGTTCAGTTAATCCTTAGCTTAAAGCATAGTGAATGAGAGCTAACACTCCTTCACTAGGATTCCTGTAAAAATGTTAATGATCTTGAGACTGTTCACTTTTGAACCAACCGTCTGGTTACATTGGCATGTAAGCAAACGAAAGAATCCAGCTGCCTTAGATGCAGAATTTGGAATTGAGAGAAAGCCTATATATTTTCTATAATTCATCCACGCGGATCCATACAGAAGACTATCGACAAAACTTTCAGAGAAACTGAAATTCGTGAACGGAAAGACTCAGAGTTAGAAGGGTCATGATATTAATGGCATTCGTTTAAAAAAAACCCATGCAATGTCATTGCACTAATTTGTTACTTGATTCCCATAAAAGGTTAAGGGATGTGTGTTAAAATATCCTTTGAATCCGATTGATCAATAAAGGGCCTATATGGTACAGTCGAAATAATCAAAATCATTGGCTGGATATTTTATCTCACTATATGGTATGAAAATATATTTCAATGAAATAAGGTGCTAATTTTAAATCTAGATGAAGGCCATGCTTTGTAACATCTACTCAAGTCAAGTACTTAAAACAAAATATTACTTGACCTGAGTAAAATTTCTCAAATAATCCTGAACTATTTTTGGCTCAATATTTTTTTTAAAAATGAAACGTATATCCTGATATCCATTTTGCTAATCGATGGTTTTTGGAGAAATTAGATGTTCGTCGTGATTGATTTAGAGGAAAATAATTATGGAGGAAAAAGGAATACTAGTATTTTGAATCTGCATGAAAAACCAACAAGAGGGAGCATATGAAGACATAAACTCATATGAAGACCCCATGTAGATCTATGGACTACGGTAGCGGTACTTTCCAAGTCTTACGAATAATGGCTATATTCCAAGAAAGCGAACCTAGCTCGGTTGATGGCACGGTTGTTTGAATGCCTAGACACATGCTGTACATTGAACAGGGAAAGCCTTCGTGTTTGATGTACGGGGATCCGGTCGCCCCCGCCGCAGGGTACTGCAGAGGATCAGTGCTTGGAAGGGATGAGTCTCAGTCTCGGTGCAGCGGATCGTCCTAAAAGTCCTAAAGGTTGAAATAGAAGCAAAGTGAAATCATTATAATCCATGCATTTGTTTTCAATTGGTTAATGCTTCATACTGTTGTTACAAATAGTATTTACGAGATGTCGACATTTGACTCATCGTATCGATCTCAATGTGATGTCTCACACTTAACTCCCAATTTCGCATTGTCTTCACATTATGCACAACGAAAGGAAACACCGCCGCAATACCTGGAAAAAACTAATGCTTGTTTATAAATTAATAAATATCTTCAATATAGATGGTTAGTTTCGAACAAGACCTGAGATAAAATTAGAGACTAAGCGTAATAGAATCATCGCATAGATTACTTTTTAAAAATATATATATTTAAATGTTTGAAATAGATGTAAACCTCAGCTTTAGTTGTAGATTCTAGTGTAGGTGCAGTGGGTGAGACATAGACCACTTTCCTACTGACTACACCTCTGATCTCCCATGCATGCAGAAATACCGTGAATAGAAATAATCATACACCGCCCATTGTTACAGAAACAGAGAATAACGTACACATAACAACGATTACCTGGTGTTAACTGTCATCATGTCCGAGTTTGAAACAGTCCACTACCCTCATCTGAGATCGAACCACCTAAATTTGCTGCCACAAACCCCCATTAGGATGACTTGACGCAGCCGGTCAAGCAATGCCACTAATCTGGCTTGTTAGGTGGTGTAAAGCTTAAACTTTAAGCTTTAAGCCTTAAAGACCACACCATCGACCTTCAACGACAACAGAGCAGCACTGTTTGTGTTACCGACTAAGAAAACTCCAAATAATAACTATTTGTTCCGGATGAGGATAAGCTATCGAATCTGAAACTTCAAGCTTCGATAGTGGAGTGAATGAGGGAGGGAGGGTTGGACGAAGACTGACCGAGTGCCCTCTGATTTAGAGAGGGCAGCTTCTGATCTCGTATGGGCTCTGATTCCGTCGACTCCACTACTCGGTCCCATCGTCGTACCATGGAGTCTTTACGTTGTGGGCATAATGTTCCACCTACCATGAAGACCAATGGACGACGAGCACACGCAAGTAGAACCTTGTTTGTTGACTTCGAAAGCCGAACCTATCATGGTATGGTAGAGCGCTACGAGTCAATGGTCACCACACCTCACCTCACTGCACCTCACTGCACTGCACTGCACTGCACGGTGACTGGACAGTAGCTCGAACCACGGTTCGCAATATGTGGCGAATGGAACGGGACCGCCTTTTTTCCAGACACAAGTGGATGTCTTCAAGAGCACTACGCCAACGACATGTCATGCACAGTCACGTAAGCGACGTCCACTGCTGCAGTTGCTCGACTTCCGCATTGGGGATGCATGTTTTCCGAGTACGGCGATCGGTTTCATGCTCGTGGGTGCGAAGCGGGGGAGGCGGGCCTACGAAAAGATGGAGACGGAATGTTGGCGACATTTGTCAAAAAGCAAGAGTTTGTACCACCTCAACGACACACATCCTTTTGGGATTGTGCAGCTACGGAGTGCGCCGTAGCAGCTAGAGTCCCGCAGCTCAACGAGAACGTAGTCGAGCGATGCGATCCGGCGGTCCAGCCGACGCCGCGCCGCTCCGATGGATGTGGTTAGGTGCCCGTCATCACTCGCAAGGCCTTACAGATTCCGAATCCATGACGCCTTCTCGACACTATTTCACCGATTTTCTCCGCCTTTGACTGCGGTCGCTTTGGCCCATCCATCCACCTCACCTGGTCTGCCTCTCTGCGCAGCAGCAGCAGCTGCTGCTGCTCCTTTTGCAGCCGCAGCCGACGACCTGGTTTGACCCCGGCCGTCTCAATCACTCCCAGACATGGATTGACTTTGCCCCATGTGAGTACAGACAGAAAGAGGAGAGGAGCCGAGACGAGAGGTGGTGACTCTTTTGCCGTGACTGGTCGAGCTCCTCGAGAGTCATCGCATCAGCGTTCTTCGCCTTTGACTCGAGATCTAGCTCGAGAGCCTGGGGCCTAGGCTCCGGTTTTTGAGGTACTAACCATGATGGACTCGTCAGGCCAAGTTGACGCCCACCTTCCTTCCTCAAGCCCCGAGAG